CTTTTCTTTCTTTCTCTTGACCAATTGCCGTGGCTAATATTTCCAAAACTATATTGAACAAGAGTGGTGATAGTGGACATCCTTGTCTTGTTCCTGATTTTGATGTGAAGGAGTTCAGTTTTTGGCCATTTAGTATGATAGTGGCTGTCGGTTTTTCATAGACGGCTTTTATCAGATTGAGGTAGACTGTCTATTCCAATTTTTGTAGGGTTTTTAACATAAATTCGGGTTGGATTTTGTCAAATGCTTTTTCTGCATTTATTGAGATGATCATATGGTTTTTGTTCTTGGCTCTATTGATATAGTGTATAACATTGATTGATTTGCACATGTTGAACCATCCCTGCATCCCTGGGGTGAATCCCACTTGGTCAGGGTGTATGATCTTGATGATCTTCTGCGTTCTTTTTGCCAGAATCTTATTAAGGATTTTTGCATCTATGTTCATTAGTGAGATTGGCCTATAGTTCTTTTTCAGTTGGGTCTCTCTCTGCTTTGGGATCAAGGTGATGCTTGCTTCCAGGAATGAATTTGGGAGTATTGCTTCCCTTTCAATTTCACTGAAGAGTTTAAACAGTAGTGGCAGTAATTTCTCTCTAAATGTCTTGTAGAATTCAGCAGTGAAGCCATCAGGATCTGGGCTTTTCTTAGTAAGTTTTTAATTACATTTTCAATTTCATTGATTGATATTGCGTTGTTTAGAATTTTTAGGTCTTCTCCATTCAACTTTGGTAATTCATACGTGTCTAGGAATCTGTCCATTTCTTCTGTGATTTCCATCTTATTGGTATATAGGTTCTCAAAGTAGGTATTGATGATCCTCTGGATTTCTGCTTGGTCTGTTGTAATTTCATTCCTAATTGCATGGATTTGGGCCTTTTCTTTCCTTTTTTTGATAAGGTTGGCTAAGGTTGGCTTTTAATTTTTATGGTTGAGACATATGATTAAAGTTTGTTTCAATATCAAGTTTGCCTTGAATGCTGCCAAAGAGATTCATAATATTAAAAGGCAAAACTAAATTTATGCTGAGTTAAGTGCATATTTTACTTCCTGCCAGTGGAAGCGAAATTTTGTTCAGTAAAATTTAGGAAATATCTATTCAGAGCCTTCTGTATGTGAGACAGTCTATTGCTGGGGATGTAAAAATGAGTCACAATGTACTTGCATACAAGGAAATTCTATTCCAATTGGAACTGGAGAGGTGGGTGGCCTTGAGAAAAGTCTAAAATAAGATAGATATGTTCAAAATGTGCCCCACATTAAGATAACAACTGTGTTATCTGAAAGGTTCCAAACCAGCAATGTGGCCCTTTTAGCTTTTGAACACCAGGGTTGTCCCACCGTGGAATCCCTAAAACAGTTCTTCTCCAACATGAGTGTACTTGCAGATCATTTGGGGATTTTGTTAAAATGCAGATTCTCATCCTATAGATCAGGTGCAGCCTGAGGTCCTGAATTTCTAACATTTCCCATCAGCGTCAGTGTCACCCAGGAGTTTGATGTGATCAACACCAACCAAGTTAGAGCAAAATTTGCAACCTGTTTCTGTAGGATGTTCCTGCCATCGTTCTCTGACTCTCTTCAGAACCCCAGTATTTAAACCTTGATTGGGTTAATCAATAATAACAAGTGAAGGAGGAAGGAAGGGCTCTTGGGAGAGTTAAGAGATTTATGGCTGGAAAAGGCAAGGGAAAAAGGAGGAATGAAGATTGTGATATCTAAGATGTCCATTCCCCATCATGAGTACCCCCTACACATTCTCAGACCTCAGAGAAGAGGAGATGTGGTAAGTTTCCTAGTGTGGGGCTTTCAACCTTGACCACACATTACTTAGAAAGCTTTTAAAAAAATAACAGTGCCAGGAGTCCACTCTGAGATAATCTGATCTCAATTGACTTGAGTAATCATGGTTGAAAACCACTGATCCATTTCAAATCTCTGTTTAATGACTCTAATAGTCACTCAAACTTGCAACTTAATAAAGCATCTTGCCCACAAATACAGACTAGTGGATCAAATCTGGCTTTGTGGCTTAATGGTATCCAGGAGGAAACCAAAAAGAGCCTTAGGCAGCATTTTAAGGGAAAGATAAAGACTAGGAGCGAGAAAGGAAGAAAGTACTGTATATGACAAAAATGTCAAGTATAAGACATTTAAGGCTAAAATACTTGAGATTTTAAAAATTTTAGGAGTATAAAAATAATCTTGGGGAGGCTGAGGCATGAGATTAATGAGATTAGTAACCAACAAGTTGGGTAGTAGGTCCTGGAAGTTCAGGAAAGATAGTTTGGATTTGATAGACAGTTAGGAGTTGCTCAATATTCCACAGGAGAGATTGATTGGTTGATTATCTCAGTATTTTAAATAACTACTAAGCCTGTTCTCAGCCCTGAGGTTTAAGATAGGCAAGGTCCCTCACGGAGCTACCCCACTAGTTAAGTAAATTATATATACTAATTAAATAAATTATATATAAACATATATAAATATATAAATCAGCCCATTTTAAACTGTATTAAGTGCTATAAAAGAAATAAACAGAAAAATATAGCAGAGGATAACAAAGGACTCCAGTTAGATGGAGTGATTAGAGTTAGCTGTCTCTGAGATGACAGCAGGGAAGCTGGAAATAGAAAGGTGAGAAGTCAGCCGCAGTGAAAACAAAGGCAAATTCCCTGGGGCTGGAACAAACAGAGAGTTTGAGAAACAGCAAGACTAGCAGTATCAGTGCAGCGCAGGGGTGAGCAGTGAGCACAGTGGCCCTGGAGCCAGAGTCACTGGCAGGGACCTGGTCCCCAGTCTAGATTTTGTTCTAAGGGTGGTGGTTCTTCATCAGGGATGCTCATTGGAATTACTTAGGGAATTTTCTCCCTGAATTCCTGGAGCCCAAAACAATCTTACAAAATCAGTGCTTCTCAAACTCAGGCCATATGAAAACTACCCGGGGAGCATTTAAAAAATCCCAATTCCCAGGTCCCACCCCTAGATGGTTCCAGAATACATACAGTGGCAGGGTGGAACTCCAGGCATGACTGACAATGCCAGGGATAGCTCCTAGCAAAGCCAGAGGTGGTAACAATGACGCAGAAGGCCAGGACTGTGAGAAGATCGCTCTGCACAGCTAGCTCTCAGTCTTAGCTGCTGTCTAGAAGCATCTGAGAGATTTTACTGGGCCTGGGCCTCATCCCACATGTTCCGATTTATTTTTCCTGAGGTAGCACCTGAGAAATAGCCATTTTATAGACTGTTCAGGTGATTCTAATAAAGACTGGGGTGAAACGTCACCATAAAAAAGCATCATTTGCTGATTCCAGAAAAGAAATGTTTACTCTGCTATTTACTAAAGAAGTTAAAATTCAGAGACTTTTTAAAAGGTCAAAACTAGGAGTGAGTAGGGGGCACCCATATGTGAACTGGGGACCTCTTGATCTACTGTCAAATGCTCTACCTTTGGTAATTAATATCTTCACACACCCAGGACACTTGTAACCTGTAAGTTGCCACTTTGGGGTGGGAGCTCTTGAGAGGCTGGTGCATCCGCAACTGATGAATTTAGTAATGAATGATTGTGATCAATTCTAACTCTCACACACCCTCAGTCTGCTTCCAGTCTTCCCCTCCAGGTTCTGCCTGTCTTGTTAGCATAGCTTCAGCCCCAGCCTCAAACTTACCTTGCCAGTTAGGAATCTGAGGATTCAGAAATACAGCTCCTCCCTCAATGCACAGCTCTGAGCTACACCAAGCAGCATTGCTCCTTGATGGGAACATGGGACAGAGGTGGGGTGTGGGAGGGCGAAAGCAAGAGGGAGGTAAAGGGAGGTGGGATGGGCTCTCCACAGGGCAGCTTTAGATGGACCATGTGTGTATGGAACTAGAGATGAGGCATTCCAAGTCAAGGTGTTGATCACAGGGAGGTAGCAGCAATGTCCCTGTTGCAAAGAGTATCAGTTCTGGATCTGTCATGGATACCTATGTGGCTATAGAACAGCTGTAAATTTCTGAGCCTCCACTTTCTTATATTAAAACAGATATAATAATTATCACTCACTGCACTTGGGCAGACTTTCACTTTTTGAAAACTCCTTGTCTGATTACCTTTCTGCCACCTCATTATTCTGTTACACCATCTGGCTCTCTTCATTCCTAGACTGTCGTTTAGACTTTAGTATACATAGACCAGCGATGGCAAAACTTTTCAAGTGCCCAAAGTACAACTCAAAATCCACTTATTTATTGCAAAGTGCCAACACTGCAATTAAACCTGAATATGATGTTTTAGTTTAGAAAAAACAACTCTTATCCAATGCTCAGTTACTGGGGTGACTTAGTTCACGTGGTGACAGGGCTTTGCGTGCCTGCTGTGGCATGAATGCCGTAAGTTCACCACCACTAATCTAGACTACAAATTCCATGAGACTGTAAACTATGGTCACTGATATATCCCCAGAGTGATCACAGATTATTGAGCAAAGGTCTGAATGTATTTTGCTATAGTTTGAATATGGCTAATGTCCTCCAAAGGCCCATGTGCTCAAGGTTTGGTCCCCTTGTGGTGCTACTGGAAGGTGCTGTGGACCTTTAGTAGGTGGGACCTTGTGAGAGCTCCTTATGTCACTGAGAACGTGCCTTTGAAGAGGATTTGGGGCCCCAGTCTCTGATGTTGCTCTCTGCTTTCTGGATGCTAATGTGGGGAGTTGCTCCACCACAATCTCCCCACCACTGCCATCCGGTGTCCACACCAGAAGCCAAAGCAATTCGACCACTTGATCTTGGACTGGAATCTCCATAACTGTGAGCTAAATTGCCCTTTTCTCTTTGTAAATTAATTGCCTCAGATATTTTGTTATAGTAACAGAAAGCTGCTTAATATACTTCCCTACATTGTAGTGTTTTGGGGAACATCAAAATTACATAATGTACGTAAAATGCTGTGTGATCAAACTCAACTCAAAGGTGGAACATTATGATTTTCAATATTTTAAAGAAATAGCAGAAGTTACCTGAAGGTTAGGATGGATAATAGCAGCAATTTCTCCATTTTCATTCCTGGGAAAATCAACTTTCTCCATTATTTTATAGGCCTCAATAGCACAGGGAGGAAATTCTTTTCCTATGATGAAATAATATATTGCAAGAGCAACTAAAAAAAGTTAATACTTTAAAGAAGGAAAAAGAACAACAGAAATGAAGACAATTATAAAGAGGACAAATCAAGTTTAGTTAAGGATGTTCATAAACAACAGAAAGCCAAAAGATGTTCTTGAATTATTACTCATACCATACTTTCCACAAATACACTGATGGAGAGACAGGGATGGAAGAGAGCTTTAAAAGGCCAGTGTGAGAGAAAAAGAGCCATGACCATGAATCAGGGCTCCTGGGCTCTCTTCTAGTTGTATCATCTTTTTATTTTCCCTAATTGTGTCATTTTGAGCAAGACACTTAACTTCTAGAGGCTTGCTTGCCTCTCTCTCTCTCCTTCCTTCCTTCCTTCCTTTTCTTTTCTTTCTTCCTTTTTTGGTACCAGGGATCAACTGCTTTCATTTCTGTCAAGTGAAGGTTTTGGATTAGCTAATCTTGGAGCACCCTTCCAATTCTGACTTTTAGAACATATGTGTTCAGGAGGACTTCCTGCAAGTTAGGTGATTTCAGTCTAGTGTCCCTTTCTTTTAACTATGTGCTTTAAACACTTGAACAGCTCCTGAGCAATGCAGGCTATCTGCCAGCAGTGGAGTCCAACTTCCAAAGACATGGCAATATCAAACAACTCAGTACCCAGAGACATGGGAAAGGAGTAGTTTACATATATACCAGACCTTCTCTCAACTCAAAGGGAAGTCTTCCTTTGCCCTTAGAGCAGAGACAGGATGAGGGAGACCGAGTAATCATGCTGAGTAATCACTTACGATCAGCTAGTTTTTGCTGCATAGCATATTACCCCAGAACTTAACAGCTTAAAACAACCAGCCCTTAATGTAGCTCATGATTCTGCATTGTTTGACAGTTTCTCTGGTTTGGACTGGCTTTGTTGATTTCTGACTGCTTTGAGCTTGTATTTGGAGTAAGCTGTCAGATCAGCTGGAGGCTGGGTGAGCTGAGGTGGCCTCATTCTCACATCTGGCATTTGACAGTTGGAGCTGCAGGACTACTGGAGGGAGGTGTCTGAGCTTTCTATCTTATGGCCTTTCATTATCTAGCAGATTAGCGTGGACTCATTCCCATAATGGCTGCACATGGTTTCCAAGAGCCACAAAAAACCAAGTCTCAGTGTGCAAGTTTTTTTTTTCCCTAAAGCTCTTCTGTGGCACAAAAATAAGTCATATGGCCAAGCCAGATTCAAGGGGTAGGGAAGAATTCCCTGATTGATGCAAAGATGGAAAATGAGGTGTACTGGATAACCATTATGGAAATCACTGTGGAGATTTCTCAAACTGAAATTAGAAATTCCATAAGACCCAGCTATTCCCCTGCTAGGTATCTTTCCCAAAGAGCTTAAATCATCATACTACAGCGATACATGCATACCAGTGTTTATAGCAACACAACTTGTAATAGCTAACTCCTGGAAGTAGCTAGTATACCCATCAACAAATGATTGGATAAAGAAAAGGTAGTATCTACTCTTAAGTGAAATAAATCAGAATGGATGTTTAAATATTGCATTGTTTCTCTGGAGTGAGGAACTGAAAGCGGAAAAAAGGACTAAAATATATAATAGATATTGGTAAGTGCGAAGAAAATGTTCAAATGGAAAGAGGAACAAGGGAGGCGGGAGGGAGAAAGGAAGGAAGGGACAAGAAAAAAAGTGAAAATAGAAGGAAAAAATGGAAACACAACTTTTGTACATAGGGAGTGGAAGGAGCTTGAGGGGAGGGGGGATGGGAAAAAAAGGGGAGGGATGTACCATGAAAAAAAAAAGAATATATATATATATGCATATAGAAATAATATAAATATATTCTCATATGGATAAAAAAAGAAAATGTGGTATCTATATATAATAGAATACTACTTGGCTATAAAGAGCGAGAAATTTGAGACATTTTGTAGGAAGTGGATGCAGCTGGAAAATACAGTGTTGAGGAAAATAAACTAGACACCCAAGCTTAAATACCATATGGCGTCTCTCATTTGAGTGAGGCAAAGGACAAACTAAGAAAATGATAAAGGATGGATAGAAAGGGACAAGGGGATGGTCTCATAGGGAAGGGGTCCAAGGGAACAAGGGTGAGGGGTGAGGAGAAAGGGTAGGAGAAATAAGGAGAATAAAGATATGCCATGTACAGGAACCTAATAACCCTAGTTAATGTAAATATTATATGCCATAACATGAGATAAGACAAATAATATCAACAAGAACGAAAAATAGGATAGGGGAACTGGGGGGGGAGGGGAAGGGGATGAAAAAGAGAAAGAAACATGCTGTAACATGTAACCATTCCCCAGGACGACTGTAAACTAGACAAACTGCAACATGTATAAGTAAAATAAAAGATTTAAAAATCCCCTCAAGGAATAATAAAAAAAGAGCTGTACTGGAAATACCACTCTCTACCCCGGTAGTAGGAATCCATGGATCATGATTTGTAAACTGTTTCCATGGATTTGTGACCTTATAACTGAGTGCATCATTTCTTACCATATTGTAGTTCCACACTTAGTATTCAAGGATTTCTTGTGAATATTTTGTGACCTTCCAAACACCAGTTCTTTTAGACAGTGTAGAACCTGTCTTCAGACAAAGGCAGTGACCAGCTGATTCTCTGGTTTAATGACTGTGGAACCAAAGAATTCCCTAGCACAAAAGAAGTTCCTGTGTGTACAACCTGAGGCTAAGGAATTATTCTCCCCACCAACACTGAACTGCACACTAGCCACATTGCTCATTTCTAAACAATTCTGAAATTGTCTATGGGAATCATTATTTACATAGGATGTCTCTTGAATTTCATTTTAACTATTTTTTTCAAATTTAAAATAAACTTTTATTATAATTAATAGACTTTAATTTTTAGTACATTTTAGATTTACTCACTTATTCATGAGCAGATGTATATACAGTGTCAAACTCATTTTCATCAGTTTCCATTTAATTAATTGTTAATTACATAAATAATACATGAATGTATTATTCTTGTTGAATATAATCAAAACAAAATTAACTTGGTTTATTCTTATCCTCCTCTGTAATCACTGTTATCAGTTTGGTGTGTTTTAAGTATTCTAGTAAGTGATTATTATTACTTTAGCGTATGTGGGGCTGAAGCGAGCACTTATTATTATTTTAAAGCAAATTCATGTACTGTATTTTTTTTGTTTTGTTTTGTTTTTTGGTACCGGGGATCAAACTCAGGACCTTGCACTTGCAAGGAAGGCAGTGGTGTACTGTATGTTTTGATGTGCAATTTGTTTTCTTTTAGTTAACAATATGTTTTGAAGATTCTTTTGTTAGTTTATTTAACTCTTTACAACTGGACATCTGAGTCTTTTCCCATTTTTTTGATGTTACAAACAAAGTTGAAGTGATCACCCTTATATACAACATATTGGGTGGGCATAAGTTTCTTTGAGATGTGGAATTGCCAGGTTATAAGATTTGTGTATTTTGAGAAGTAGATACTATAAAATTATCCTTGAAAGTGTCTTTACAAATTTATTTGTTCACTAGCAGGGAATAAGACTATCCCATTTTCCTATATTTTTTTCACTAAAATTTAATATTATTAGATTTTAATATTTTCTGAATATAATGGAGGAAAATGGTTTCTCATTTTAATTTGCATTTCTCTGATTACTTGTGATATTGAACATCTTTCTGAGTTTTATTGGACATTTGCATTTCCTAGTCTTCCTTTGCTCTTTAGAATGGAAGTTAAGCTCCCAGCCAGGGGCAGACCAGTGAGGAGTGGAGCCCCACGGGTGCTCCCACCCCCCTGGTTGTGCCTGTACCCGGATCCACACCCTAGAGGCACAGGGGGTCATAAAGGCCATTGTCCTGAGCTTCAGAAGATAGAGCAGAAGTGGACAACAGAAAGAGGGCCTCTCTCAGGCTCCTTGATGAAAACTGAAGCCCACTGGAAAAGCAAAGAGAATCTCTGCAATAAAGGCACACTAGACCATCGTAATTGGTAAGCTGGAGGGATCATCACCTCCCATCGGAACCTGGATTATCTTCAGGGGAAGAGCAGCTGGAACCTGCAGTAGAACCTTGCAGAGTTCAACCCTGCAGGAAGTCAGGGAACTCAACTTGGGCCTTGCAGCCAGAAATCAGCCTGAATCTGAAGGGTCTGCTGCAGGCTTGCTGAGACTCATTGACTTAGACCGGCATACTGTGGCCCACCTTGTCTATTGTGACAGCAGAGATGTACCCTGAAGGAGGCCCTTCATTTTTATTTTTTATTTTCAAAATTTTTTTTCTCTCAGTTTTAATTTTTGTTTTTTTCTCCTCTTTTCAATTTTTTTCTGCTTTTTCTTTCTCTCTCTCACTCTGTCACTCTCCCACATTGTTCTTCATCTCCCTTTTTGTTCCTGTTTCTGCCCTAATTCGGATTTCTTCTTTCTCTTTTCTTCTCGCTGTTTCCTTCTCTGGATTGTCATTAGTTTCAAAGGAAAGTGAATACAGTTTCTAGCTTCCCTATTGCTGATAGGTTGTTCTGTTCTTATCTTTGTTCTTTCATTCTGTCTTTTCTTCTTGTCTCCAACAGTTCCCTGAGTTCGTGTGATCTTCTTTTGTCCTCTGGCCTCACTTCTAACCTCTCCCTATCCTTCTACCTATCTATCCCTTCCTCCCCAACCTCTTCTAAGTCACCATCCCAAAGGGTAAAGTTGCTATATTGAAGAGTCTGTTCATTATAAACATATTTTGGGCTGGTCCTCGATTTTGATCTAATTCACATGGTTAAAGGTGATAGATTAATAACTACCACAAATTGCTATTTTCTAAGCTATACTTTATATTATTGTTATTGCTGATTGTATCACTTGGGCTAAGGTGTTGTGATCAATCTAATCAGGTATCCTTCTGATATAATGAAAATGAGATTGCCCCAGAGTCATTTGAATGGAAATTAATAGGAAAGTAAGGATTTGATTTGGGGGCTTTATTTGGCAACTGCGTTTCTTGAATGTATCTATTCTTGATATTGAGGAATTCCTGGAGTGCATAAAAGTTTTAAAAAGCATCTAAGATTGTGAACATGACAAATTTGACCAGGATTCAAGTAGCTATTTCAGTGTTTAGTGCTTGTTTTATACATACACACAATTAAATAGTGAATATGTTTTTACACACATACATGTACATACTCACAATTAAGGAAATAACTCCCATCCACTACTTACCTTGATTGAACTGATGTATAAAATCAAGAGCATGTTTAATCATTTTTCTCATTTGATCCAAAATATCAGCTCTCAAAACACCTTGAGGCTGGGGGCCAACTTCTATACCTAGGTACAGAAAGGGGGGTAGTCATATTTGTATAAGTATTTGAAAATACTGTGAAATTAAGCATTTTAACATATCAAGGTCTAGAATGTTATTATTAAAAGTTATTTAAAAAGTAGCATCATTTAGCATAAAGGAAAATATCTGATTCACAATTTAGGTAAAATATAAAGCAGAACCTTTATATGTCTTTTTATCTTTTAAAAACATTTGTTGTGCTTGCTTTCTTGTGCATATGTATAAACATTTATTTAAGTGTATGGTATCACAAGTATGGGTAAGGTACGTACCTGTGCATAAATGATTTGTACAAATGTGCAAAACATTGTGGTCATGGATGTGTCACTCTATGTATTGTAGAATACATTGTTTGCTTACCACAAATTTATTCCACCTTCTACCCTTCTAATAGAATCAAAACTTTGGTTGGGTATACAATCTTCAAGGTAAATGAACTTTTCTTCAGTTCAAGAGTAAAGATAGGATAGTTTAAGTCACACATTGTAATTTTAAAATCTTAATGACTGATCGAAGAATGGATCTGTGGCCCAGTTCTGTCAGAATGAAAGATCTACAGGGGAGTTCTTCAGAGTCCTTTTTCTTGCTAGATTTTCACATTAACATATGATATTTGGAACTATAGTGGACATCTTGTGTCACTTAGGGACAACTGATGACATGTTAAAAATGCTAAAACAGAAAGATAAAAAGAATCCGGGCCCTCATGATGTTGGTAAACTGTTACATAAAATAACAGATCTGTATTATTGCTTAAGCCTTTTTGGGTTACCTGAACCCAAAAGTATTCTACATATTTCTGTCTTTGAGGGAGCTGGAAGGGTGTGGTTGGTTATTCCTACATGGAAAGGGAGAAGCTATGGAGGAGTGGTGGCTTCACCCAGAAAAGGCAGTTATTAAAGTTTATTTTTTTCCTGAGGAGAAAAACAAGTTGAGTGGCCATATATACAAAATGAAAAATTAACTCTGTCACAAGATCCTCTATCAGAGCAGGATATTTAAATTTGTAGGACATGGCTATGGCATTGTCAGAAGTGGAGCTGAAGGAACAATGGTCAAAGATAACTTTATTGAATTTCAAGTGACACCACAGCTTATCTGGGAAGGTTAGGGGAAGGCTGTGTCAAGCCACCCTTCCATGTGCATGAAAAAGAGAAAAAGAGGGAGATGGCAATGATCATGAGGCTGGCTACAGCAAACTGCATCTTTCTGGAATAAAGTTCACCCAGAAAGATCCTGTCACATTTCAGCCACATTAACAATAGGACACAAAGGTGGTCCTTGTAGGTGGTTAGTAGTTTAAGCAAGTTTTTAGGGGTGTTAGTCTAGTGAATTATAAAATGTCAATTCAGAAAGAATGCATCTCAATTTTCAGTGTTTTAAAATGACTTATGAAATGAAAGTATTCCAAATAATATAGCAAAGTTGGAAGGAATACTAATATTTCTAATTATTTAAAAACTTAATACTCCCTCATATTGAAATGTTTTTTAAACATTTAACTCTATATTTAAGGGTCAAACATGTGAACAGCTAGTTGGTCTAGCTAAGAACATCATTGCCCATAAATATCACAGGCCAAGATCGATATTTTAAAGTTTAGAAGCCTTTTATTTGGTGTGAAAGTGAACTATGATCTCTATCTCATATTATTATTATTATTTTTATCTGATGGTGCTAGGGATTGAACCAAGGACCTCACTCATACTAGGCAAATGCTCTACCATTGAGCTATATCGTTTAACCCTATCTCATATTATTAAGGCTTTGGTTTATTTCAGTTATGTATCTATAATTGAATATTTATCTTTCTCTAATTGTACATGATTAATTCTCTTAACTATGCATCAAAAGTATCAATGCTTGAATAACCAGGATACTTTTTAAAAATTTAATTTTATGTGCTAACTTGCTCTTAAATTACTTGGTTAGACCATCTGAGTTCTAACATCTGAGATCTAACAAAAAAGATTTTAAGTTGTAATAACAATTTTATTTTTAGTGTAGTCTGCAAATAATTAATTATGATATTAGGTCTCTTAGGAAAGAGAATGGAATTACACCCACTATGGCCATTTATCGCTCTATGCAGTAATTACCTGGTTACTTGTATATCTTCTCATTAGATATTAAGCTCTTTGAGGAAAGATGGTGTGCTGTGTTCATTATCATATCCCCAGCACCTAGCAGAGTGTTATAGTAGACACAGAATGAATAACTATTGAATGCATACATTTTTGGAGTAATTAATTATGTAGAGTGGGGTTTCATTAAAGGTGATATTTCACTTGGGTCTTAGGAATGAGAAGAATCTGCCAGACCAATTTGATGGGCCAAATATAACAGCAAGAGAAATAAAACAAAACAAAACTATATAGCTGCTCAGGGAAATTGAGAAAATTAGGATTGGAGCCTGCCTGAGGCAAATTTTCTTATTACCTGACAGTTATGAATTTTAATCATATGCAAGATATCTATAAATGTTCTTTAAAAATAATTTACTCGGCTGGGGATTTAGCTCAGTGGTTCTGCCGCCTGCCTCACAAGCACAAGGACCTGAGTTTGATCCCTGGTACCAAAAAAAAAATTTCTCAAAGTTTCAGCTACGATATATTTTATTCATTCACAACAATAGCAAATACAACTTACCCACAGGATACTTGGCAATAGAACGAGTGGTTGCATATTTGAGGGAAGGATGTTCAATAAGGTAAACATAGCAGGGCAATGGGGCCAAAGAAGTCTGAAAAGAATTTAAAACATCTTTTTTATTATGTAAAGATGACATTTTGTTCTCTTTTCTACTACAGAGTCAGCAGTGCCTTCAATATGCTGTACTTCATCATCTAAGATTAGTCAGATGGCTTTATGAAACATGCTATAAAATTTGATGTTATTACAGCTTTGAAAACACACAAATGAATTTAAAGTTGAATTACATGTAGGTTTCTGGGCAAAATGTACATTCAACAAAGCTCCAGAACCATGACCAAACAACATGAAATACATTTTCCTCCTGAATAGATTTGGTTATTTTTGTTTTTATCATTGGTTATAATTATTATTTAGCTTAGTATTGGTCTCTTTAGGAATTCTATTTCTACTCCTGTGGTCCAGCTCTCTAAATATCCTGGGTGAGTTCCCCTCCTTCTGCTTATTTGAATGAGAATTTGAGTCAGAACTCCTGGTTTTTACAACTATCAGCCAAGCTACTGTCTCACAACCAAAGCATTCAGCCTCTCTTCAGTGAGCAACAAAGAACAGTTGCATTGTGATCTTCCACTAGAACCACTCTCTAGTTATTGTTAAAAACTCTATTGAGGCTAGGTATTAGGTTAAACACTTTAATGACTTTATCTCATTGAAAGTTTTTGGTTGTCATTTGGCATAAGTGCTATTATTTTGCCAATTTTATAAAATGAAAGAGGCTAAGCTCTGAGTTGAGCATTTTGTCCAAGGTTTGTGAGTGAGAAAGTCAGGATTTAAAAATCAGGTTCTCTGGGCTATGTGAGTCAAACTTTTCCTACTAAACCATACTAGCTGTCAGGAAGGAAGATCATCTATTACATAGAATTAACACACAATTCACTATTTGTGTTTTTGCTTGATTGTTATTCTTTTTAAAACAAGTATTCTTTAGCTATAGGTATTGGACTGCTGAATTTTTCATCTTACAGATTTCTGAGCCTTAAAATGATTATCTATTTGAAGTATATGCCAAAGATTAAATGTGTGTTGGGGTATCTGAATCAAATAGCAACAAGAGCAGACCTAAAGAGAGCCAGTCTTTTTTTACCATCAACATCAAATGACAATTTCTTGAGCTTCCTAATTCCTGAAATTGAGATACTTTAATCACAAAATTTACATTTTTGATATTAATTTTACTTCATATTACCAAATAGCTAATGATTTGGTGGCTACTGGGGTAAAATTTATAATTTTATAGATACAAAGATTGTTTTGCTTTTATTCATTATATTTATCATTTTCCTTATTTCCCCACCTTCTCTCCTGCATGTCGAGAGTGCCTCTGTATTCTGGTTTAGTCCCCAAACTGACCTCTCACTCTGGCTTTGGTTTTTTTGCTTTGGTACCAGGGATCGAACTCGGGTCCTTCTGCTTGCGAGGCAGGCAGTGGAACCACTGAGCTAAATCCCTGGCAGTCTGGCTTTGGAATAGATCCCATTTCTCTTAGACATTCTTTCCTTACCCTTTTCCCATTGTTTCATATCTATAATTACTTAAAAGTACAGATCCTATGCTAACTCATAAGTTAATAACATTGTAATTACCTTAATATAATGAAACATCTGAATTAAAAAGTCATTCTTGGAATCTTCAAGAATAAGAGTGCACCCCATATTAGAAGTAGTATTATGAAGGTCAAAAATAATGTCATAGGAATCTTCACTATTTTTTTGACCAAATAAATGATTTATTTCTTGAGCCCTTCTCACTTCGTATGGCAAATCCTCTGACATCTTTTTGCTGTTATTAGCAGAAAGAAAAAGATTAACAACTTCTGAGGCTAAGATAACATAAATTTATTACAAGAACAGAGTGTACAAAGTACTAGTTGCCAAACTTTTAATATAAAAAATTTGTGAGGAAAATGAAATCTTGTCTGAAGACTGTATAAGTGAAAAATCTCATTTTTTTCTCCATTTGATTCTATATAACAAATGTTGCATTGACGTGTGCAAAATAAGTTGTCTTATGGTACTTGTCATAGGTAGAATATTTCAAACAAAATTTATCTTTTGACTTCAACCTTGAACAAAATTTGTCCATTAATTTTGCAAATAATTTCTGAGTAGTTACAGCATACTTGTTACTTATTAAGGGGATAGGCCAGTGATAGTGAATCTTTTAGAGATCAAGTGCCAAACTCCAACCCCAAATCCACTTATTTATTGCATCGTGTCACCACTGCAATTAAATCTAAACATTGAAGTTTTAGCTTAGAAAAAACAACACACACATTAACATCTTTTGTCTTAAAAGAAAAACACAATAACACATGTACCATAGGCTCGCCATCCCTGGGCTGGGCCATTAAATCCACCTTGCCCTTGTCCCTTTCACCGTAGCGTGTTTTACTCCACAAAAATAGTCAAACTTAGGCACTCCCATCATCTTAATTAGGATTTTTAATTGAGGGCTAGGAGCTGCCAGTGGTCCAGGGACAAGGTTTACAGATGAGAGTCTGCAAATCTTCAAAAAATACAAAATGTTGCAGTACAGACATATATGTATTTTTTTTTAGAGAGGGCTCATGGGTTAATAGTTTTATTGTATACTCAAATGATTCTCTTTCCTCCCTCTTCTCACTTCCTGCAATGATTAGGATACATTTTTTCTTGCTATACATGATAATGGTTTAAGTTTATTTTCCTTCATTAAGCCATGAAAATGTATTTTCCTATAATTTCACCCATTTTTATTCCCTGGCTATTTTTGTTAGTATCTTCAAGGGGCCTACAGTTTGTACCTGAATTTTCCCTTCTTGGAACAGAATTGAGATGGTGGAGCAGCCATTTTGTAACTATGAGACAAAAAGCCATGAAGACAACAAGGTGCATGTGAGGAACCGTATAGTGGAGAGACAGAAGGAGCCACTGCATCAGGCCTGGACTGCCTACCTTTGGACTTACTATTTATGAACAAAAAGCTTTTATTTATTCTTGGGTTTCTATTATATGCAACCATATATATATAAGTATATATATTTACGAGTTAATTTATGAAATATGAGTGTGACCCTAATTCTATCTGTTTCTACACCATTCTACCCTTTTTAGGTAATGGCACCACTACCCACCTAGCTGCTCAGAATGAAGGCTTGGAGTTTTGAAAAATAATGGACACAGTTTCTGTGCCTGGAGGCCAAATCTCACTGAAAGATCCCAGGGAAAGAATAGACAGGTCAAGAACCTGAAAGGCACTATCAGCTATGCTAATTTGCTTAGATCTATTCTGGACCGGAAATTTGAAAAGAGTTTTCAGCAGGAGAAAGGCATGTGATTTGCATGTTAGGATGATCCCTATGGTTATCATATAGAGAAACTATGGTAGGAAGGACTATAATAAGACTGGGTGCACGAATATCCCCAGAAGAAACAAATTAACGTAGTGAACAGGGGGACGAAGACTGAGTTTGCAGTTATTGCAAATATTGGGAGGACATGGGGGAATGAAGACCTGGAAAGGTTCTAAGATGATTTCTTTTTTTTTTTTTTGTACCAGGGATCAAACTAGGGACCTTGTGCTTGTGAGGCAGGTGGAGGCACCACTGAGCTAAATCCCTGGCCCTAAGATGATTTCTACAAGGACTTTGATGGGTAATAGTGTCATCACTATGACAAAAAACACAGGAAATGAATAAATTTAGGAGAGGAAGAATAGGATGAATTAATTAATCTCTTATAAATTTTCATAACTACCCTAAGAGAGAACTGTCTAGCCTCTGAATAGTGTTCAGAGTAGGAAGCACAGTATGAATTTATTTGGGAAGTTAATCTGATGATTGAAAGAGTTATTTTCAACATATTCATACTTGTAATATACAAGTTAGTAGTTATTTTAGGTTCATAAATGTTATTGTGTTGACACATAATCTCCGTTATGATAAAGTATTTCATAAATTAAAATTTATGCTAGTAAAATTGTTATTTGATACACAAGCATTACTACTTTAAATTGTCTTGAAAAATTTATTCCATTAAATGAGCATATCTATATTAAAAGTAGTATTTGGGCTGGGGATTTAGCTCAGTGGTTCCGGCATCTGCCTCGCAAGCACAAGGTCCTGAGTTCAATCCCCGGTACCAAAAAACAAAGTAGTATTCATCTTTTGTTCTGTGATGAGACTAAACCTAAGGAGTTTTCTAACTCAAATTAGTATTTATCAGAAAAAAGTACATAAAGCTGCACAGTTAGATGTTCCTGTGAGTATCTGATATCCTAGGCAGTGGTCTACCAACTCACTGAAGGTAAAAAGCATCTTGTACACAGCCTTGTATTCCCATAGTACCTGGTACAGTGAAAAGAACAGATGTTTGATAATAATTTTAGGTAAAAGAAGTGGTAAAAGATAAACTTAGAGGCATTTACAGTGGTCACTATTATGATATAAACAAGGGCAAAAAAATTAGTAAGGGCCCAACCAGAATAGTATGATTATTCCAACTGTCTTATAAATCAGCTGCAGTTCAAAGTCAAAAAGTTCAAGGGAAGTGTCTTTAGCTCTCATTATCCTCATTTATGGTAATGGTATCATCACCATTACCACACACAGAGTGGTCTGATGTTTTCTGGCAGTGGATACTTATTGACTCTTTCATTCAACCAATAGTAATTGAAACATTACATTTTCCTCAACTAGAACTTTATGTACTATCATAAGCCTAGTCAAATGAAAACATAGTGATTTCCTAGAAAGTTAATACATATGTACACAATCACAGTGGCCAAACACTAATTTAATACAAAGATTTATTAAATCTTTAAAGATATGATTTAAAAATAAAAACCTTTTTTATTATTTCAGTCTGTATAGAATACATGTAAAAAGATAAATCTGTTAAGTGACAGGTAGTATGTTAACAAGTTTATAAAAGACCATGTGAATACCTAGTTTTGGTAACTGCATAACTCACAATTATGATTCAACACGATTAAAAGTGAAAGTGCTCTTACTCCCTATATCCATTCCATGTGTGAACATAGGTATTTATCATACACACATATGTGTTCTTTCTCTCGCACCTACCACTTTGCACACAGGCAAGCACACACACAACATAAAAAGTAGTCTTACCCAAGATTTTCAAGGTCAAAAACACGATTCAGGTCACAGTCGATATATCTCAGACACTTCTTCACTGCTCTTGGATTGCTAATAAATGGTTTTACTTCCAGTCCTGTTCTCTGAATTTCAGCGCCATCCTGTAGCCAGTGCTTAACTAGAAATACTCCTGTTAGCTCATTCCCGTGCGTTCCTCCAAAGATAGCAATCTTTTTAATAGGTTTTTCAGTCATTTTACCAGGGAGTTTTATCTGATTTCTGCAATTCAGAAGAGAGAAGATCAAAAGAAGCTTAATTTCCTAAGAAAGGTTTAGGAATTTAAATCTAAGTGAGAATTTAACCAAAGTGCAAAGTACAGAGTTCCCTTGAGTGAGGTCTTTTTAAAACTTTCTATTACAAGTTCTGAGCTTTGTTTATTATATGGACACCAACTTCTGTAGCCCTGCCCTTTACCATATTTGGATTAAAATATGCAAAGATCAACTAGAGATACAGCTGTTAATGTCTAACTCCCTCAGATGGTCAGTAGATCTAAGTACAACAATAAATTAGGACCTCCTACTAAGACAGACATTGTTTTCCCTTTAGCTAGAATGTCATCCAATAGAGATTTTATGATTATTTATGATAATAAAATACTTTATATATTTATAATCCCCAAAATATAAAAAGAATCTACTATCTATCTAATCTCCACTGACAATTACAAACATCTCTTTTCTGAGATGAGCTCAGGCCCTTTTCATGATCTGAGAGCATTTGAGTCTCTTCTCTAGGCAGCCAGAGGCAGATGCTCACAGATTTCTTGAGCCAGGCCCCCTTCTTCCATAATGTCTTTTCACAAACAGGGACACAAGGATTCAGTCAGTGATCACTGGTAATTAAAAAGGCTACTTTGAAACATCTTTTGTTTCTCATGAACTTTTTGGTAATTCTGTGTCAACCTTGGGGGGAATAAAGGAAAAGCAAGTGTTAGTAATGCATGAAAGTCTCTGTAATGCCTGAAAAATCTCTTGGGACATACTATATACATTAACCTCATCATGTGAGTTAATATAGACACAGCCTCACTACTGGCAGCAGGGACTCTCCACTAGAATGTGTTCAAACACGGGCCTTATTAAGAGAAACAATCCAGAATACTAAAATGATTACATGCCTTTGGAAAAGTGACTCTGAGACAAATCCGATTTGATTTCATGCTCAATCACCCAGAAAGTTAGTATGTTCAAGGGCTGGAAATACTATGTATTAGTAATGCCAGGTTGTTTGATAGGAGTATTAAAAGAGTAATTTATTGCAATTTCAGGTGAGTTAATTTGTAATGTTCTTCGACATACATTAGCCCAGTTTATTTATATAACCATGTTGTAAAACAGGATAGGTTAGGTATTCACATCCACATTATAGGAGTAAAGAGAGGTTAAATAACCTGATTAAGTTTGGACAGCTATATAAGAGAAAACTAGGCCTGAGACTCACATTTCTGATTAAGTCCAGTGTTTTTCACAGGACGACAGGGTGCCTCTTGGTTATTTTTTATTTCCTCTGAAGTTCTAATTTTGCTCTTTAGGAATTCACAGTCAGTACAGTACTCAGGAAGCAAGCATACAAGCACAGTACATAATGGAAACATACACTATGAATGCTTACTAATATTTAATAAATTAATTTCTATATTTTTCCTTTAAGATATTATAATGCAGAGACACAGAAAGCAAAATAACAAAATCTAAATTTGCACATTAAAATTCCTGGTCTAACTTATGACAAAGACCCTGTTGCCTTTGATTTTCTACCTGCATCAGTGTACAGTAAACACTTCAGACAGGGTAGAGATAATGAAAACACACATAAATGTAAAGAGATGACAGTTGTGTTGCTACTTTAAAAGCAGTAACTACGGTGAATTATTAACATGCTCTGTGTTTTGTTCCTCTCCTGCTGATTTGTAGTTTGTTCTGTCCTTTGCCCTACTCTCTCTGGAAATGCTGCTTCAGTTATTTACTTGTAGCTGGCCCAAATGACTTGCATTTAGAAGCTTGTTTTATGGAATTTTAACAGATCAGCATTTTGAAGCACATTCCACATTCATAAAGTTTCCGTTATATGTCCAAATGAATAACTTAGTGGAGAATTAATGAATTGCAGTAATTATTTCCTATACATACCTTGTTTATTGTGTACAGAGTTTGTCTTCTGCCAAAAGCTTTATTAGAAAAAGGAGAGCATTTCCTTAGAACTAGAGCAACAGAGGCTTTTCATACTCTAATACCAAGTTAACTTCCAAAAGATTTTTAACTCCCTGTTTCCCAAAGCACACTTGATTTTTGAGCACACTTGGGTTTTGGACACAGTTGTATTAGTTTAGTTCTTTTTTGAGAGTTCAGAAAATTGGTAGTATACAAGATGAAACCCTATCTAGTTGTCATTGTCTCATTATTGAGAATTTAATATTTTGAAGTACTTAAGTGTGATAACTTCCAGCACTTACAAATGTTTTGTACAGATGAAGATGTCTGATTTATTAATAAAACAATGTAGTTTAAAACAAAAGGAGAGTAAATTTTCACTTCACATTTATGGCTATTCAATAGACCAATGCTAGAATTTTGGTAGGAGATAAATTTAAGATGTATTGTTTACTAAATAGTATGATTAGGGGATAAGGAGGTTTTTCTGTTCAAGAGGAAGATGTTGATAGAAAAGTTTATAAACTGTTAGCAAAGGCTTCATATTGCTCATGACTACACTCCTTAAAAATGTAGCACAAGAGGGCTGGGGATTTAGCTCAGTGGTTCCGCCACCTGCCTTGCAAGTGCAAGGACCCGAGTTCGATCCCCAGTACCAAAAAGAAAAAAAAAAAAAATGTAGCACAAGATATTTGCCATAATGGGCCTAACAGCATTTTGTTGTTGTTTTCTCAAAGAAAAATCTGTCTTCTTCTTCTTTGGGGAAGGGAGTGGGTCTTTATATATGTATTCATGTATGTGTGTATGTATGTATGTATGTATGTATGTATATATATATATATATATCGGGCCAAAAGATGTTTCCTTGAAGTTTGTACTCATAGTTCGGGTAAGTCTCTCTGAAACCAGGACAGATAACAAGCCTTTTCAGATATTTTGTTATTTGAAGTCTCCATTTCAAATTTAAAAGATAACTCCATTCCTTCAAAGCTTATCCCTTAATCTACTATTATTTGATCTCAATCTACCTATGGTTGTGTCTCCTAACAGTCTTCTTTATTTGACCTAATTTTCAAGGAAATTACTAATACGTATTAGTCTTGGATCTTTACTAACAACCTTTCCTTCTGAGACCCCTTGACCTGTCTCATTCATGTATCCTAGTCTTCCAATAGCCTGAAGATAGTGTAATGGTAGAACATGGTTTTTGATTGGACACACATGTGTAAATATCACAGTGTCTCTCTGGTGTAAGAAACCAAAAGAGTAAATAAGGACAAAAATGTCTAATAGATAATATGAAATAGGAAGAAACTGTTCAAAAGGAAAGGGAAACTGTGAAGGCGGGGCCACAAAAGGAAGGAAAAAGGGAAAAAAACGAGAAAAGAAGAAAAAAATGGAAACAAACCTTTCGTAAATGGCAGGGCATTGAAGGAAGGGTAGGGGGATGAGAGCAAAAGAGGAATCAAGGGATTTCATGTACATGTAGAAATTCCATTTGATGAATGTGATTGTTAATATCTAAATTGTACCAGTAAAATTAATTTTAAAAAAAGAAGAAAAAAAGAACATGGTTTTTGAGCTCAATATAAAATTATGACACCTGGCCTATAGTAAGTACACAATAAATGGCAACTACTGTTATGAAATAAGCTAACATTTATTGAGCACTTACTATGAGTTTGGACTGTTCATTTTGGTATTTTGGGGGCAATTAAATAAATACTGTATTACTACTTTTATTTTACTGAGGAAGAAAACGTGTAGGGGATAAGTTGCTCAAAGTCACCGGGACGAGAACTCATAGGCAGAAAGTTTGGAGTGCAGAGCTTGGGGGCTTTACACCATTCTGCTTCCTTTGTAGAGTATCTCTGTGGCTTCTGTGCGCTTTTGCCCCCAAGCTTCTGCAGCACTCGCCCTGCTTTACTGACTGCTCTCACCTGACTCTAATTCTCTGACTCAGCTGTCTCAAAAATGCAGCCAGACCAAGCAACACACTCAGGCCTTGGCTTTGAGCCCTGTGGGCCATGGACTATTTAGGTACTGGTCAGGGTCCTATCAGGACCGTTAAAAGTGATGTCTAGAGCCTAAGAAATGGCCATGGGGTGCAGGAAAGGGAGAGCCACAATTTTCTGAGCCAGCCAGATCACTGGAGGGCTGGGCTGGAGATCTGCTTCCAGATCAGGTGAACACAGCAGGATCCTTTCCTTTCTGGTCAAAAGGCTAAAGAGATTAGGCTTTTTCTGCCCCACATACTTCACAGTGTAAGAACACAAAGTCCTTTCTGGCGGAGAGAAGCCTTTCTAGCTGTTCTCTGAAACTATGCCCCTACTACTGCACGTGCCTACTGCACGTGCCCACGTGCCTACTGCACGTGCCCACGTGCCTACTGCACGTGCCCACGTGCCTACTGCACGTGCCCACGTGCCTACTGCACGTGCCCACGTGCCTGCAGTCTGTGCACCCGCGTACAGCGCTCCAGGCCAAGTGCGCCTGTGCGAGTTCCACGTGCGCCTGCGCACAGTTTGATTTCCGGCGCCTTTTCGGAGACCTATAGGTCAGTCGTCGCTGACTGGCTTCTCTGGATGACGGTTGGTGGAGGTAAGCGAATGTCGGGTTAAAGCTGTGCGTCGTGTGTGGGGTGTCAAGAAAGGAAAAACAATTCGCTGATTCTAGTTACCAAACTGCTACCTATTCTTGGGTGAGTTAGGAGGGCTCTTTGGAAGAGAACATAAACTAAGTTTTTCCCCTTCCCTTCCTTGAGGGGCCAAAATAGGCCCTCCTGGCCTCTGTCAAGGACAGTGGTCTATGGGGGAATATGTTTTTGTAAGTTGAGCAAACTTTGGACATCAGTGGCAACAATCCCTTTACTAAGCCACTCAGGCCCAATCAGAAGCTGGAGTGGGTGGGGGCAGTTGGGAGGTTTCAGCCCTCAGGGTTAGTGGTCCAGGAGGATTTGGATTTTAAAAAGGGGTTTTCTTTAGTCATTTGAATGATTTTCAGAAACGTAACAGCCCTTGTATGTCTCTTCAGATTTAGGATGTGAGTTGCATTGGTATCCTGTGCCAAGAAAGAATGGCATAACCTCTACTTTGGTTCCTAGAATGGCACCAAGAATATTTTTTAAAAGGCCTACAGGATCTGGCTTCAAGCCTAAGATCAGGAAACAAAGCAGAGGAACCCCCCGATCTCATGTTTCCCCAAATTTTTATACAAGTGATATTTAGAAATTTATATGTATCTCAGTTTGATTTGCATTATTATTAGTTGTGTTCATATCTGTTTGTCTCACTGGGTAGTGAGTTTGGAGCACAAGTGTTCTCATTTAGGTTTGGATATTGGTTTTTCAGGCAGTGTGCAAGTGTTGAATTAAATTGGAGTTGAAATATATATACATGTGAAAAACAGAAAATTTGTTCCACTTGTTGACACTGTAGAAACTTGAGTGGGAACTTAATATTATTCTGGATATTAAGTGAGCATTTAGTCTTTGGTTGTCTCAAACTACTGGCCACAGTAGATGATCTGTGCAGCATCTTAGAGTTGGACACAGAGCGTATTCTCACATGACTAGTTCCATACTGTGTTTTTCTCCCTATAAGTTTACCAGTAAGTACTATAGTTCATTTGCTTCTCTATAGATCTGGTACAAAATCTTATGCTAAGTCCTTGATTCTGAAATATATTCCATAGACTATGTGAAAATCCCCCTAGATTTAGGGAGCAGGGTTATAGTCACCCCAGCCTTAATTTATTTTGAGCAGAGTTAAATTGTTGTAAATGTATTAAATGAGCTTTCCTTCTTTCACCCTCAGGCTTTTTTTTTGACTGTTACTTCTCTACCAACTCAGGCCCTCTTATTAAAAAAAAAGCAGTGTAATGACACTTTAATGATTTGCCTTGATGGCATCATTGTGTAGAAGAACGTAAAAATGGAGAAAGGAGCCATTTATCTCCATTAGTCTTTTTATATTGAATATGTTATTAAATATATGTTATTTCCCTCCCCCCTTTTAGTCAATATTATGTTTGTAGTAAAAGGAAAAATGGTGAGATAATATGGAAAATCTAAACTGTATGCTCTGGAAACACTTTTTTCAGATGCATTTGGTTTAAAAGGGTGGATATATGGCACTTTCATAATTTAAATGACCAAAAGTTACTGTAAATTCATTTGTTTTCCCTTCTCATGTAGGCAGTAACATCAAATGTGCTATACAGCTAGGTTAACATTTTTAAAAAGACAAACTTGATTGACTTTTTTTTTTGGTACAGGGGATTGAAGGACCTTGTGCTTGCGAGGCAGGTGTCAGAGGCACTGAACTAAATCCCCAGCCCTTGATTGACTTTTAATATAAACTGTTACAATGCACACTATATAAAAACCTTAGATATGACAACTTAAACTTAAGAAGAAGAAAAAAATATTTTGAACAGAGCTGGAAAAATGAGTTATGTTGTAAATTCTTACTTGAAAGGATTCCCTGAAGTGTTTACATTGTCACGTTTGAAAGTAGTTTTAAAACATAATTTTTGTAGTTAGTGGGCTGAAAATTTGATTTGGTTGTTGATATAAATTACAAGTTTCTTTCTTTGAAGGTTTAGTCAATCAGCTTCATTTTGTAAATTTGGAATGCTAAGGAAAAAATTATAGACTTTGATATTGAAGAAAATGAAGAGAAACCTTAATGAAAATTCAACTCGAAGTACTGCAGGTATTGAACAATTTTTATTTTGAAATTTTGTTTTATATATACAGTATAAAGCACATACAGTTTATAGATGGAACATTTTGAGAGGAACTTTTAAAAATAATTAAATGTTTAATATTACCTCTTTTCTGTTTAGATCCAAGGAAATAAAGTAACTTATTCAAGGCAGACTATTCATTGGGATAGGTAGAAATAAAATCAGACTTACTTAGATTTACTATGATGTTCCTTCTACAAATCCTGTGTGCTGGAGTTGTTATATGCTTTTCAGATGGAAACACATAGATATATTTTTTGTTTGTATTTGTGACTGACTTGTTCAGAATATTTCCAGAAGCACTTCTGTCTTCTGATAGCTTCTGCCATTTCTGCTTTCCCAGTTTATTAGGTAGTCTAAGGGCAGAAGGAAAGAATGAGAACTAGGAAAATGAACACGGTGTAGAATGAGGATAATAACTATTATTTGTGGTGGGTGTACTAGATTCTAGATATTTGATTCTACATATTAATTCATTTTTAATACACCAACCCTCTAGAATAGGTTATTATTATCATCCCTGTTTTCCAGATGAGAAACCATATGGCAAAAAGGTTTAATAAATAATGTGTTCAGTGGCAGGAATCTGGCTTTAGAGTCTATGCTCTTAATCACTATGTTTTTCTGCCTCTCAGCATGTGTCATATTGTCACAAAGAGTTTAAGGAAATTGCCCACCTTTACACTTTGAAGTTGTAATTCAAAGCTACTTTGAAGTAATAATTAAAACACAAGCAGTCTGACTCAAGAGTTGATTACCCTTTCATCACTGAGTTTTCAGAGTCCCCACTCTGCAGTGCAGCAATGGTGGCTCAAGCAGACAATGGGAGCTTGGCGAGAGATCTGAACTAAGACTTAGAAAGCTTCGCTCCTCACTAGGTTCTTCCAGTGGCTTGCTTCAAAGCAGTGAGTGAGGTTTTGGGCCTCTTTTTCCTCTAAGTTCCCTTATAGGTTTTACAGTTTATGCATTACAACTTTTGACCTGACTTGAGATTGGTACTTCTTGCATCTGGAGGAAGTAGAGGTGGTATTTCTTCTTATTTGGGTTGTATATTTACCATTCTCTAACACATTCTCAAAATGACCCATAGAAAAATATCATGTCAGACACATGGGGTGCAAAATGTAGTTTTGGGTTTCAGACCAAATCTATTGAAATAAAATCCATAATAATAGGATTATGGTCTTGGAACCTGCATGTATCAGATTAAATCTTAGCTAAACTAATTTTTGAGAATCATGACCCTACAGGTTGTATCTAACCAGTGGTTAGGACTTTGGAAAGCATGGTTCAGAGTTTGGTTCTTCATCATGTCTGTTATACTCCACAAGTCCTCTCTAGTTGATAAATTAATAGTCAAGCACAGGAGAGAAATAGGGAAAACAATAAGTGAATTGGGGAAGGGTTAGAAGATGAGAAAGGAGATAGGAATTTAAAGAGGAATTAAAGCAATGTTAAAGTAAAACAAGAAAGGTCTTCTTAGACAAATTAGGCTATTTAGGGTTTTAAAAAGAATATAAAAACCAAGGACCTAGAACTATATTTATAATAAGTACATTAACGTATAGAAGTAGACATGTAAATTGTGCATATTATATATTAATAATTTTTCTATAAGTATATCTGATTATTTCCCTGTGTGTACTAATTTATTGGTACATTCAATGTAGGCTGTTTGCCCGTACCATTGTTCCATCAGAAAAAAAGGAACAGACAGCCATTAACTTCTAATCCACTTAAAAATGATCCAGGTATCAGTTCTACTTTTGACAATTATGATTTCTCTCCTCTTCCAACAGGTAAGAAAATGAATCAGATAAAAATTTTCAGGAAATAAGACCTAAGATTATAGAAAATTATAAATTTTCTTTTATTGTAATGAAAATAGAAAGTTTAAAAGTTCTTTCTTCTTCCCATTTTCTAAATATAGACATTACTTGGCTCTTTCTGAACATTCCAGTACAGGCATTTGAGTTTCCTAGTCCACAAGGGTGGCCTAGCATTTAAATGGAGTATTTTAGATCTGAAGCCATTGTGCTGATGAAGTAGTAACCTACATTACAAAGATATTTTCTCTTTTTCAAAACACATATAGATCTCATGACTTACATATTTTGTGGTAAATATTGGAAAAACTCAGCCTCAGGAATGGGCATTAAGTGTGCATTGGAACACAAGAAAAATGGAAAAAAATAGACTTTAGGAAGAGAAGAAGCTTGAGAATTTCTGGTGCTTTGTCCTAGTCTTTTATTTCTCTTCGTATGGCATTTTTGATTTTCTTAATTTCTCTTTACTGTTTGCTATGGTCTAAAATGTCCTGTGTTGAAAATTGACAATGTAATAGTATTAGAGATGGCTTTGCCCTCATGAGTGAGATTAGTGACTTTATAAAAAGAGGTGTGAGGGCCTGGGGATTTAGCTTAGTGGTTCTGCTGCCTGCCTTGCAAGCACAAGGACCTGAGTTCGATCCCAGGTACCAAAAAAAAAAAAAAGTGGGGTGTGAGGGAGCTATTTGGTGCTTCTGTTATGTAAGGATGCAGTAAGACGTGCCATTTGTGAAGCAGTGAGCTTTCACTAGACACTGAATCTGTTGGCACCTTGATCTGGGACTTTTTAGTCTCCAGAGCTCTAAAAAATTTTATTTATAAATTACTTATAAGGTATTTTGTCTTATTAACCCAAATAGAGGAAGACTTGCGTCTATTTGCCTCCTTGTAGCTTCAAGTAACACACGAACTAAGTTGCCATTGTAAAGAATTCACAAAATCTTTTAGTTCTAGTTATTGGAGGTCATTGATTGATTACCTTCTATATTTCTTGATTAAATCCTAGAGACAAGGAACCTCTGTTTCATGTCTTCTAAATGAGACCATTGTCTTAGTTTAGGCCTCTCACCTCTGAACCAATTAGCTGTGGTAGTGAGTGCTGGGGGATCTTAATATTTACTGACTTTTCGCTTCTTTCTGGAAGAAGGCATGGTAGGCAGACATTCTGAAATATATTTGGTACATGTTGATTCTATACATTTAATTTTTTAGATCACACTTAAAAAAGTATTATTAGAATCTTGTACAACCAGAATTTAAAATTATCTTTATAGCAATTTTATTTAATTTGTTCTCGTAAACTTTTTTTGGTTCCGGGGATCAAACTTGGTTCGTTGCACTTGCAAGGCAGGCAGCGGAACCACTGAGCTAAATCCCCGGCCCTTGTTCTTGTAAACTTTAATGTAGGTTTAAATTTTTTTTTCTTTTACATTAGAGGAAGTGCAGTATAAAGTTAATACTATTACCATTTTTATGGATAGGAAATTAGAAATTCACCTGGGAATGTACAAATCAACATTTATTTGGTCATTCTCCATCATTTTAAAAAAAATCTCCACCATTTAAAATATTTTTGTAAGTAGCATGAGTGTTGATCTTAAAAAAAATAGCAAATTTGAGCTATGCCATAAGGAAATGTGCATCCTCCTGAATTACTAAATTCTTCAATCTCTCACTAGAGATATATTAAGATTCTTATACTGGATAAGAGAAAAGACTGTATCAGTATTTTTCAGAGTTTTGTCTTGACCCAGTAGTTGAACTGAGATACAACAAATCTTTAAAAAACAAAGCAAAACAAGAAACAGGAGAGACCAAAGCAGAGTGGAATAGAAAATATGAGTCTGTGTCATACATAATAAGGATTAGGTTTGATGTTGAAATTTTGTTATGTTCCCCTACCTCAGTGATGGCGAACTGTTTAGAAATGAGTGCCCAAATGGTAACTCAAAACCCACTTACGTATCACAAAGTGCCAACACTGCAATTAAGCCTGAATGCTAAGATTTTAGTTTAGAAAAAACAACTCATACATTAACATCTTTTATCTTAAAAGGAAATAACACATGTGCCATAGCTTTGCCACCACTGCCCTACCTGTTTTGCCTGTTTCTTCCTTTTTGTCTCTCTCACACATACCATGCATTATGTATCTGCTATGAGTTATGATATAGTCTTTGCTGTCGGGTGGAATAAAAAAAGTTTATAAACATTAGATCAGACTGAATTCATGTTACAAAGTATAAGGTTAGGCCTGATTATGGAGAAGATACAATTAAACTATTACTTTTGCTTAAAGTACAATGGAGAAGAAAGATCTATAAAAATGTCAGGTTGTGGCAAATTCTACAACAAATTGCTGTTGAAGACTGTGTTTAAGTTTTTTAACCTCCTAGATTAAATAAATATGAAGGAATTCTTTGGAGAAATGTTACATATCTTACTTTTATCTGTGTTCTTATACTTTTGAGATTGGGCCTGGGAAGCTATGAATCCAGAGTTGGCTTCTTTAACGAAAACAGTGAACACTGGGTATGTGGAAAAATATAAACCAATGAATGTGTGTCTGTTTTTGACTGATGTTATTCTTTTTAAATTTTTTAAAAAATTAAATTTATTGGTACAATTTATATATGCATAACAATCACATTCATCATATGGAATTTGTATTTGTACATAATAAATCTTAATTCTTATTTTTTACCATTCCCTTCCCCTCCCTTCAACCCTTCTTTCCCTCTTTATTTACAGAAGCTTTGTTTCTATTTTATCTTTCTTTTTTCGTTTTTTTCCCTTTCCCTTTTCTTCCTTCTCCTCTCCCCCCTGGTGGTCCATCACATTTGAACTTTTTTTTCTTATTTCACATTATCTATTATAAATTTTGGTCCTTTTTTATGCTTTTAGTTTCTCACACCAGAGAAACAATACAATATTTACACATGGGTGTTTGATTTATTTCACTTAAGAGTATGGTCTCTAGATGCATCCATTTAGCTATAAATGTCTGAAGTTTAATCCTTCTTTACGGCTGAGTAGGACTCTATTATATAAAAAGTACCACATCTTTATCTGTTCCTTGGTTGATGGGCATTTGGGTTGTTCCTGAGATTCAGTTATTACAAACTGTGCTGCTATGAATGTGGGTATGAATATATCAGTGTGGTATGATGCTTTTAACTCTTTTGGGAAGATACCAAGGAGGGGAATAGCTGAGTCAAATGGAACTTCTAGTTTTCAGTTTTTTGATGAATCTCCACACCAATTTCCACAGTGGTTGCACCAGTCTACACTCCAACCAACAGTGGAGAAGGGTTCCTTTTTACCAACAAGCCTGCCAGCATTTGTTATTAGTTGATTTCTTGATAATAAGCCATTCTTTTTGGAGTGAGATGGAATCTCAGCATGTTGTAATTTGCATCTCTTGAATGACCAGTGATGTTAAACATTTTTTCATAGTTTCATTTTTCATATTTTCATTATTTACTGTTTCTTCTTCATCTGAGAAGTGTGTTTTCATTTCAGATGCCCATTTTTGTATTGGGTCTTTCAATTTGGGGGGTTTGATTTTTTTCAGTTCTTTATATATGCTAGATATTACTGACTGAGGTTATTCTGTGTATATTTTATGTTTCTGAATTTGAAAGCAAACTATTAATATTTAACAAGATATATTTTCTTGAAAGGCAAATAACATCTTCAGTTTCATGTCCCTTGAGAAGTCAGGATTCTATGCCTAAATCTATTCAATCAAACACTGAAACAAGACAAAGTGCTTGGAGGTGAGTCTACTTAAAATTTTTTTCTTTTATTCTTTTTTTCTCTTTCCCTCTTTTCCTTTCTGCCTGTTCCCTCTCCTTTAATCTCTTCTTCCTTTCTTAGAACTACATTTAGGAAATGTCTACATTAATAACTATTATATTTGCGTATAACCTGTGCATGTCCTCCTGTGTACCTTAAATCATCCCTAGATTATGTATAATACCTCATACAATGTTAAGTGTCATGTATACAGTTGTTATGCTGTTTTGTGTAAGGGAAAATGACAAGGAAAAAGTTTGAATATGTTCAGTACAGAGGGTATTTTTTCCAAATATTTTTTTGGTGCCGGGGATCAAACTCAGGACCTCGTGCCTATGAGGCAGGTGCGGTACCTCTGAGCTAAATCCCCTTTCCAAATATTTTTGACCCATGATTGGCCAACTCTATGAATGCAGAACTTGTGGCTATAGAAGATTAAGTGTGTTCTGTTTTTGTCTAGATATTTACCTTTATCAATACGTTTCATATTTACTTCTAATCTAGTGTTGCTGTTCAGCATCTTGTTTCAATTTGAATTCTTGTTAGCATTTCTTACAATGTATAACCTATTGAGATCTTTAAGCATCTTAATAATTTCTGGATAACTTACACTTAAATACTTGTAGACAAGAAGTTTCCATGTTTACACAGGCATTTGATAAGGGGGAAGGTAATTTTAATTTCTTTCTCTTAAAATTAGCATGTTGTCTTTTGTGCCAATGTGTCTCTCTACTGCAACAGCTTCTAGGTCTTTACAATTTTTAGATATGTTCCATTATTTTCTGAAAGAATTTTAGGACAACCGCTTTTACAAAGTTTATTTTAGGAATTGTTCCTAAAAATGATATATATGAATTTTGGTTTTATGGTAATTTAAAGATCTCTTAATTTCCCACTGCTTTGAACTGAGGGATTGGGTATAGTCCAATAAGATATTCAAAGTGTAGTTTTCCTTAGAAGATAATTTACCATGAAATTAATAATGCTTAACCGTCAGAGCCTCATTTTCGTGTCCATTTCAAAGTTATGTCCTCATCCATAGGCCCAGAGAAGAAAGCAGCAACTTGAACAGGGTACAGGCTTTGTGAAGTGGTTTCTCCCCCTGGAATCACTCATATTCTAATAATGGTCCTGGGGCTACCAGCCTTGATAATAGGTGGCTACTTCTACCTTCTTGGTCCATCTGGTGTCAAGAACAGCTGATTCTTGAGGTCCTTGTTGAACATCTGGACCTATCCTCCCCAGAGAGAAGGATCTAAGGGAGACAATGCTTTCTGCTCTGCTCCAAAGCCACTTTAACTTAGGTTTCATGATCTAGTTGGGGTGTTGAGGACATGGCTGAGTTTGACTGGCTTGTGAAGCAGCATCTTTGAGTGTGTGTAGGGCAAAATAGAAAAGTGAAAAGCCATAGTTTTCCTAGGGATAGTCCAGACTGGGAATGCTTCCTGAACAAAAACGTTGGAGGGAATTTCAGGTGCACTATTACCAAAAAGTAGTTTTGAAGTGGAAAGAAAACCTTTCTAGGCTATAAGTAATAAAGATAATTTTATTAACTATGAGTCAGGAAAGACAAAATTGTCCGCTTGCTTAATTGAAAATAAAATGAAAATTTTCTCATATGAAAAGTTGATCATTGTAGGAAAAAGTCTTTATAGGGCAGTTAATGAATAATACATCTATTAATATTTTCCTGGATATTATGATACCTATGGTATTTATAACTTTTTGTTTTTTGTACTGGGGATCAAACTTGGGACCTTGCGCTTGTGAGGCAGGCAGCGGAACCACTGAGCTAAGTCCCCGGCCCTTATAACTTTTAAAATTTAAAATTTGTGATTTAAATTGTCATCATTTTCATGATTTAACAGTACTTTCCAAATTATACAAGGTTCAGATCCCATAAAACTTAGATTTGTTCTGGATCATATTAATCTAGAGTTTTTCAGATTATTTTCTTAAACAAGGAATGGGTTGTATTGATTGCCTTCTTGTAAGACTTGTGATATTTTTAGTAAAATTATTTAGAATTAAAAATGTATGATTCAGACTAGATTTCCCTGTGGGACTCTTACCTAGCTTTTTTTGAAAAATACACTTTTGATTTTGGCCTCATTGACCTCATGTTTAATCACAGCTTATTTAAAGTAGCTAGTAAATACTACAAAACTGATTAGTAACAGTTTTCAGCTACATGATAAAATCAGAGAATATATAATCAAATAGCTATCTACCCTGCCTATATTTATTTACCCTGTAATTTAAAATCACAGACAAGCCATAGTTAAATTTTTTTACTTTGTAGAAAATTTTAAAATAAATATGTAAAGAATTAAGCACAAGTTCACCTTGAAATCTTTCTGTTTGAATACAACTAGTGTAATATGGAAGCTGCTATAGTTTAAAAGTATACAGTAAGTCTTCAAATTACAAACATTTGAGTTGTGAATTTTCACAGATGTACTGTGTAAGACTCACTTTGTTGCATTACAAACATCCAGTTTATGAATGTTCTCCTGGAATGGAACTTGTTCCTAAGTTGGGGACTTACTGTGCTTTGTAGCTGTCTAGTCTGAGTTGGAAGATTAGCTTCCTCTGGGTTTTTATTTGTCAATAAGATGGCCACATTATTTTCTCACTAAGCCTCCATCTCCTCACCTGGAAAGAGAGGTAAATAATATATTGCAGGGTTGTGATAAGTGTGGGTTTTATAACTAGTTAGTAGTTATAAAATGTTTAATATACCATAAATTGATATGATAAATTTCAGAAATGAAATTTTCATCAATTATTTTTAATTTAAAAATGTATATAGAAATGATTTTTTTCTTTTTTTTATTGTAGCTATAGAGATGACAACAAAAATACCAGCTCAAAAACTTGGGGTAAAAATGATTTTAGGACTCAATGCAAAAGAACAAATCTAGTGGAAAATGATGGAATATATTCTTCTCCAGTGAATTTGGGAGCTCAGCAACAAAAACAATTAAGAATATCTGAACCTCATAACTTAACTTATCACAGAAAAACTGAGGTACTGAGACAAACACATTCATCAAAAATATTTGACTCCAAAATAAAAGGCCTAAACAAAAGTAGCACATTACAGGCATTTAAGCCCAGTTTTCAACAGAATCAATTTAAGAAACAAATGTTGGATGATATTCCAGAAGAAAACACTCTGAAGGTAAATAAATATTAATGAATGACTTATTAGCATTTTTTAAAAGGTGAGGTAAACACTTGGAAAGTTACAGAGATAAGAACATTTGAAATTAGTCCTATGGCATACATTATTAATGATTAGCATGTAGTACCATTACCATATAGTTCCATTGGAGTGGATGAATATTAGTTTCTAAAATATTTTCTTTCTTTTTTAAATTTCATTGGTACATTTTAGGTATACAGTATAATGACATTCATCACTGGAAATTTGCACCTTTACATAATCTCTCTTGGTTCTTATTTTTTCCCCCATTCCTCTGCCCTCCCTTCAACCCTTCCATCCCTCCCTATTTACAAAGACTTTGTTTCCATTTTTTCATTTTCTCATATTAATTCCATTCCCTTATTTCTGCTCCCCTACCCCTACCATTTCCCCTTCCCCTTTGCCCTTTTCTACCTATTTCACATTATCTATTATACCTTTTAGTCCTTATTTACACTTTCAGTTTCTCACACTAGAGAAACTATTCAGTATTTACACG